GTTGGGGGGGGGGATGGGGGATGGGGGGGGGTGGGGGGTCCAATCTGTCCAGCTGACCTGTTTCCTGCGGTGCATGAACAGATCCGTCCAGATTAAAGCGGCATATTGAACGGCTCCATTAAGATTTAATGCCGTCGGGATTAAAGTCGACGGCATGAATGGAAGGAGGGGGCTCCATTTTCCCTTTCAGAAACTTCTGGAGGGGATTTCTAATAACGTCCACCATAATAACCTCTGACTTGTGTCAGATTTTCCAGGAATCCAGAAAACTATTCTGTAGAACGCCAAAAAAAAAAAAAATCAAGACTTGGGATCTTAAATTCGGACATAATTGGAGCTTTTTGATTGTTAAAGATATCCTGCTTCGTTCATTTTTAAACATTCATGGGTAAATGATTCCATCTGCAACCTACCAAATTCATTTTCTGGACATTTTCTAGCTATTTGGTCTCAGTTTATTCTTAATTCAAAGCATGTTTACAGAAAAACTTTTTATTGCTATGAAATTGCGCTCAAATTCTCCTCTGACAGCTCTCCAGACAAACCGGATGCATTAAATTAATTTGACACAACTTTTACACTCATTTGAAATGAGTTTAATCTAATAGTAATCGCTCCTACACATCCATTGCAGAATTGAACACCCCCTGCATAATTAATAGCCGTTTGATGTTGATTAACCCCAAAATAACTGAAATTAACCCGATTAACCTGAAACTGAGTGAACCTTTAGAAGGTTTTTCTGATCTCATGTTTGTTTTCATGCAGAATGAGGTAATGTAATGATGTTGGAAGCAGTTTTAGGACCTGTGTTGGAACCGTAAGTTTTTTTTTCAACCGTAAACAAATGTCAATAACATGGTTTGCAAGTTTACATTTCAGATACAAAGATAAACCCACTGTCCTCATAAAGAAACACACTTCCTGTACATGACAGGGTTTAACTTTCACACTTCTTGAGCCCACCTCAAAGTAACAAAAAAAGTCTCAGGAGGTTCAATTTTGACTTGAGAAAAAAAGCTTTGCATTGCTTCAAAAACAAAGCAGACGACAACTGTCTGTTTTTGTGACTTGATTTACATTTTTGCCCGTTTGCCTTCACTGTGTAAGTCTAACTTCTACCCTAAAAGGCTTTTTTGTAACCGTGTAAAGCCTGCTAACAATGGCTAACAATAGGAGTTTAGGAGTCCAGAACAAACGGCACTCGCTCCTGATCTGGATTTAAAACTTTGGCCTCTCCTCTTCCCACAAACACAATCAGAACAATAGAAAACGACTCATCTGTTGACAGCTGACACCTATTTAATGTCTATAAATAAAAACGAAGCACGCTGAACCACGGAAAGCATTTCCAATGTATTTTTTTTTATTTTTGCTCCTCCTCGTAAAGCTCGGCAACCACACACACACACACACACACACACACACACACACACACACACACA